TTCATGACGTGTTTGTTCAGTGCATACACACAATACACGAACGGCAACTTGTAAACTTGGACACAGTCATTATTTTCACCTCAAAGTGACCAAATGCACCCTCCTTCATGTTTCCATCAGCCGTCAAATGTGTTTTTCCCGCGTCTTGTACGTCAATGTTTGCTTTGCATTTCAATATGAAATTGACCGACAGTCGATTGTCGTCGTCGGCGCTTGAATTGTGAACAATTTTTCTCGCAGCCAGTTGAATTTATTTCGCTGTCACTGAATGAAATTGTGATTGTGAGTGTGGGCCCGGGACATTAGGGATAGTAATAGGGTTGATCGCGTGACAAATGTTCCTTACACGCTTCGATTATTACCTTCGGCGATGGGTTCGCCATGGTCGTTTGGTCGCTACTGGTTTTCTACGTTTCTACATTTTTCTTTTCATTCTGTGTTTTCTTTTTTGTGCGTTTAGTTTTTTTCTTCAGTTTCTTACGGTGTGTTGTTTTGTGTTTGCGCATAAACACGTTGTGCATACAATTTACGCGCATACAAATTCACTCATTGTGCTCTTTGTGTACTTGTAGAAGTTTTTTTCTACTCAATGGTTTTTTGTTTGTGAATTGTTGACTTGTCCTACCCAGAGCTAGGCTTGGCGACGCCGATTTTGTAATATCGGCGGCGTCATCGTCGCCGGCGACGACGTCGCCATATGTCGATTATAATCGTCTGACAGGTTAAATGATGGAATGATGAAAACATGGAATTCTTTATTCAAATCATCAAAATTCGATGGGTCGAAAATTGGATATAGTAAAAAAAATGAATTTTTTTGCGAAATTTTTTTTTTCCAAAACTTTGATAGCAATTATCTTGGAAACTAAAAGCGATAGAGAGATACTGGTTGAAGATTCTTGAAGAGCCGAAAATTCTCTATTAGAAACAATATTTCAAATTAAAATTTGGAAATAAAAAATGCCAAAAAAATAATTTAGATCGAAAAAGTCATACATTTTTTGCATTTTTTTTGCAAAACTTTGTAATCGAATATCTTTGAAACTAAAAGTGATAGAGAGAAACGGATTAAATATTCTTAATCAACAGGAAATTCTCTATTAGATTATTCTTTAAATACAAAATTATTAAGTAAATAAAAGTGGTAAAAAATTACTTCATAACGAAAAAATGCTCAAACTGAGATTTTTGCATTTTTTTCAAAACTTTGATACCGAATATCTTTGAAACTAACAGTGATAGAGACGAGCGGATTAAATATTCTTAATCTATAGATCATTCTCTATTAGAATATCTATAAAATATCAAATGTTCAAAATAATTTATAAGCAAAAAACGCAAAAAACAAAATTTTCCATTTTTTTTTATTTTTCCGATGTTTGATTATGTTTTTCATTACTTTCTTTAAAAAACAAAATATAAAATGTGTTTGTATAACTTATTTGAACAAGGTACTTGAACTTCTTCAATTACAAATAAATTGTCCTCATTATCTTCACGACAATCTCATCGTAATATGCATATTATAATTTATTCTGGATTAAATTTTGAGTTTGCGCCGCCGTCGTTGGCTGGCATTTGCATTCGTTTGAAATGATAGTCATTAAATGTCGTGATCCGGCTGTACATACTTCACATGATTTTCGTGATTTTCTTTCGTCGCTCTTCGCCCGTGGAGCGCCTTTATATTCGCGTTAACCTGGAATTACATTACAGAACATAACAATTATTCTCTGCGAAATACGCAATGCCAAGAAATTCGTTTACCTTTATATTGCCACATGAAAATATTAATATTGTTTCGTTGTAGTTATAAAAACAACATTACGTATAGTCTAGCGAATGCAATTTCGTATTTATAAACATTTATTATTAGAGAAAAAAAAAATTGCGATCAAAAAACGCAATTTTAGCATGATTTATGAGTGGCGCTCAAACATTAATTACATTTTTTATAAACTTTTTGATGCCAATCAATTTTATGAAATTACTTCAGCATTTTGCGGGTGTCGTATCACATATATGCAAAACCAGGGTAGCAGTTAATGAATGTTGGCAAAAAAAAATCGTTTGACCTGCTGGCAGCGAGCATATGCGACGATTGCCATCGTCCATCGTCCACTGGAGGCAGGACTATGCAAATTGCATTCGATTATGCATGTGCATATTTAGCCTTGGGTGCAATTTCTTTCATCTTCTCATCTTGTCCACTCATCTACTCCACTCTACAACCCGCAGTTTTCTTTTAAATAAAAATTTTTACTCAAAAATTTAATAAAACTACAAAAGTGAGAAAATTCAGCTTACGATGTCGTTGAATATAAATTGGAAAATCGTTGAGCATGGGCGTAAATATGACGGGAATGCAATTTGCATTTACACCTGCATTTTAATAACGTTTAATATTCTGGACAAAAGCAAAAATATCGCGTAAATGCGACAAAAAAAGAATAAGCAGTGACCGCGGCGTATTTATTAAATTAAATTCCTTGTAAACCGACTGCGAGTGGAAAATGTTTACAATTAATATACCGCTTGTCATGGCGCATGAATATGAAAAATGAAAAATTAATCAAATGCAGTCACAGCCAGCAGTTGACATATGAAACAGCGTAAAATGTGTTCGAAACAGTCGCACCTGCTTTTATGCAGCGAGCGAAAAATCGAAACAAAAACTAATTTTTTAATTGAATCTGGTTTGTCGCGAGTGTATTATGCATATTGAATCGTTGTCCTGCATGTCGACGTGAATGTACGAGCATGTACGACGCGGGAAAGCAATTTGTTATGTTTTAATCGATTCGATTCGAATCGCGGCCCGTGCATGCCATTACACGGCTTATAACGACGACACAACAAGTTGGTACATACAATTACACAACTAATGCGCACGAAACGCCTTTTAACGCAGCGAATAAAGCTTCCAATGTGCCACATTGTCAAGCTAATGGCATTTTTTGGTAGGTTTTATATTTTTGTGTTATTTTTGCCAAGTTTTCAACGAAAATCCAAGTAAATTTATGTTCAATAATACTTTTGGCGAACTGTAGCGAATCTATTGGAGTTTTCGTTGCATTTTTGCGAATTTATTTCATTGACTTGTCTACCTCTAGCGACTCGCCCGGCTTGAGATGATTCGATATTGCATAATCCAATACAAACGCACACAAATCTTGCATAAAATTGAATTCGCTGCCATCGGACAAAATTGATAGCAAATTGAATATCGGAAAAGCTACCTTATTACAATATTTATCTAATAGGAGTAAAAGTTTTATTCGTATATAAATTTTATAATCAATAATTTTGTGTTTTTGTTTTTTGCGAATAAATAATTAGATGATTTATTCAAAAATTCGCCGCTTTCATCAATAAATTAAACTGTCACAAAAGGCGCATTATCGCCGTCAGTATGCATATTTATGAACGCGACACACAACCATCATCAAATATTCCATGATGGCGCGTCCGAAAGTGATGTTGATGCTCATCTTGTTTGTTCGCGACAAATTTGAATATTGCTAAATGGAAATAATGTAAATGTGCGTCGACTTTGTGTTTACAATCAACTGGCTACGCATTAATCACGCAAACAAACCCAAAATATAAAAAACTATTTTCTTCATTTTAAAATTAAAATTTTTACTTTTTATTTCAATTGGTGGAGGCGCCAAAACGGTATTGGTGCGTTTATAATTACAATTGCAAATTGTGTCGCCCTGTTTTGTTTTCTTATTCGCATATATACATGAATACATATTTGCGTAACATAAAACCTAATGCGATGTGTGCCCAATTTCCATTCACACGGCTTTTCGACAAATATTGTCTTTTTCGACGCGCACATTACATTAGCGCCTACATTCCGCACGCACACATTAAAAATACGTTTCGGTTTGTTAATAACACAACTGTAATGCGGCGTTATTTGTTTTCGCTACTTTATTACTATTACAGTAAATGAATTTACAATAATATTGTTTTACATTTAATTAGTGCTTCGCCGGACTATTGTCGCAAGCAAATTTAAACTTAATTAAACATTGCATGTAAATATTAATCAAATATATGCAGAATATCGTATAGTACACTCTGAAAAGTAAATAATAATTAATTTTTATTGCTTTGCAGCGGTAAATGACTTTTTTTCTGTTTTGGTGAAAAAAATTTTTAGAAATAAATTTCTTTTTACTTCAATTACTTACAGCCACTCTGATTCGTTCTTCTATTATGTTGCTCCTGCGAGTGCATCACGGCATCCCCGACGTTTTGTTCCATTTTATTTCTCCGCGGGCGTTGCGCATCATTCGTTATTGTCTTCTTTAAATGCACCTTCGGGCCGACGACGCCCGCGCGCGCTCTCCTGCTTTCCGTCGCAAAGTCTTCATGTTTCGTGTTTATTAAACTTATTTTCGTTTCGCTCGGCTTTTGTAATTTTTCACTGCATCCACCTGCTTATTGTCCACATTGTGCGGTGACTGCGGTGTGATTCTTTCGCTCCAGGGCCGAGGATTTTTTACGCGAAAATAAACTTTACGTTTCCGTGCGCTTAATTTTCACCATGCATTTCAGTACGAATAAAAATTATTAATTAATCCTATGGTAGTGGTATTGTTACGTAATGCAATTATACCATTGTCGAGTATTTCATTGATAACAAAGCAATTATGCGCCGATAAAATGGCTTGCATGTGATGTGCCGTGACGTTCCCTTCAGACCCACACTTTTTCATTTGCGTATGACTCAAATTGTATGTACGAATGAAGGAGTGAAGGTAATGACCGAATGGACTTTTGTATTGAATGCAATTCTTTTATCCGCTGCCTTGTTAAGCTCTATCAGTATAATAAATGATGGTAGTTGAAAATATCTCGAATGAATTGCGTAAAATATTTCATACAAAATGGAAATGTAACTGACGATGAATTATTACATTAATTAATGAGCGTGCTATTGAAATCTATTTAAAACTTATTTAAACTTATTTCTTTATTTTCAGAATATGTTCTTAGTGGCAGTCCAAGGGCTTCGGCTTATCCAGCGCGCAGTCCAATGGGGAATATTTCAAATACCAACTCTCAACACAGGTGAGTTTTGCAATCATTAATTATTTGTTTATATGAAGCGTTTGTTAATTAATTAGTGCTCTAATTATGCACGCTCGCGGCGAAATTAAGGATTTCGTAAATAATGAGCTTAATTGGAAATATTTATTTTTATTTTATTTTTAATCAACTCTCAACTTATTCAAAGAGAGATTTTTCTTTTATTTTATTTTCACAATTATTATAATGATTTCCCCGGTACTCTAAGCGTATTACTCTCTTAAGTTTAAAATATGATTCTTTGTATCTTGTACATCAGAAAAAAAAAACACTAAAGGTTAAATTTATGATGCGACTTGGAGGCGGCACGAAACAGTTTACGTCGGCTTTTTTTCTCCTCACAACCCAATTAGGACAATTTGATTCACTCGAACAACAAGCGCGTCGTTTGCTTAATTTATGAGAGACGAACAGGAGATTTAAATCCCTTCGTTTGTGTCTCTCATCTCTCATTGCGCGCATCGTTATCGGATTCGTTTAATGTCACGTCCATCTCTCCTCTCGAAGAAGCAAAAAAAAATCATCACGGGACAAAGAAAGAAAGCATTGAGTTTAAGTTCGACTGCGGGTGTGGATAACGTGAGGGAATGAGATGAAATGCAGCGCTTGCAGAGAGAGTTAAATTCGCTTTAATGAGTATTAATTAATTGGACGAAATTACGAGGGACGCGGGACGAGATGTTGAGTTGAGTTTCTGTCGGCGGCGCGAATTGTCTCGTCATTGGCGGGGCGGCGAGGCAAAGTCGGAATAACAACGCACAACGCACAAACGCGAATCCGAACTGAACAAACAGAATTAAAGTTTAATTGTGATTATAATTAAGAATTATAAGTACGGCAAGCGGGCGCGGCAATCGGAGAAAGAAGCCCCGAAGAAACTCGACGAAGCATTTAAGTAGGAATTAACTGTGATTAAAGTTTGACGGTGTATGAAATATAATTTCGCTTGAAATTTATTGATAAGCGGATGGATTTGAATTGTTAAGACTGTACAAGCATCGATAAAACACATTTAATTTACAATGCGACTAAAACCGTTATCCTGTTATTGTCATTCTCCTTTTGCCACCGCAGTGGGCGGTCTGTCTGGCACACAATCAGCGGCAGACCTAAAAATAGCAAACAATAAAGACTTGATGATGTGCGGTTGGATAAAAACGTCGCCGGTGTCTCAGTTGGAAGGTGGTTTTTGGATAGGTTGTAGTTTTATCCGAAAGCTCTCACATTAAGTGATGCGCATAGCCAAACACGTAAATACCATTCGGCAAATAGGTCGTGCATAAATAATGAAAAGTTGAAGAGTAAATAAAGCAGCTGCTGTGCTGCAGGCGGTTGAAAATTGACCGGAAAACGACCAAAAAACAATTCGCGACGCGAAGATTTCAACGATTCGACGATTGAAACACGAAATTGTTTTTATGCTTAACTAAAGTTTCATTTACGTCAATTTTCATCATTTAAAAGCATTTTCTTGTGCATTATATTTAGTAATAGTTATGATTATATCCAACGTGCATTTTCATGTTTTTCTGCACTAGGCGTCGGAAAAATCTTTAGCGCAAACATTCATAAACACAAAAGAAAACAAAAACGCGAAACGCGTCTCCCCTCCTTGTTGTGTTGTTGTCGGTCCGTTTCGGATAACATTTTCGTATTGTTTTGTTTTATCTTTTATGTGTTTTATGTGGCCGCCCCCGCTCTACCCGAATATGTTGCGGCGTAAGTGGTTTGCCGTTGTATTTTTTGAGTTTTGCCACTTTTCGTGCGATGGCGATGCAATTGTACGGTTGCATGCGAACGCGAAATAATGAACACGGCGAGGGGGGTGATGATGATAAAAAGGCGCACGTTTCGTCCGCGTGCGTGGTCAAGGGGCGCAAATAAATTCTCGCTTAATTTCTTTCGCGTTATTTTTACGTGCAATTAACGTTTTGCGCATGCATCTCGTGTGCGGTGCTCAAAATTATGAGTTTTGCATTTTTTTGGACTTAATTTACTTTGTGTGTGAAAGTGAAAGCTTTGTATTTTACACATTTGTATAAAAAGTAATCAGAATTATCAAAATATAACCTAAACTAAACAATGTCTAGACGATTTATACTGGGATACAGACACAAAAAAATATTTTTGATGTTTTTTTAGGTAAAGAAAATTATTTTAATGAAATTTTGTTTTAAAGAGAAATATTTTTCTACAATTGTATATTTAATAATAATTCTCATCATCATAAAGTCATTAATAAACGTGCGGAGAATTCCGCATTTGCAGTTTACTTCATTAACTTTTTGCGCGCGGCGGAAGTAAATTTGCGAATTTTAAATTTCGCACATTTGCTGACGCCGAAGCTCGTGAGTCGTGTGCCAACCAGTGAGCAACCGGCAATTCGCCATTAACTATTAAGTTTTATTCGTTGAACATTTCCGGCTTGCGCCCATCCTGTCGCCGCCGCCGACGCTGGAAAGGAAGTTTTTCTCGTGCTCGTTCTCGTCTTCGTCTCTTCTGCAACTTCGTCAACTTACTGGCACTTTTGCTGCTTCTTATTGCTACTCGGGAGAGGTCTAGAACCGCGTCATAAGCGCAGTTTCAACTTATAAGTTGCAATACTTTTCTACTTTTACTTAAACTTTTGCTAATACTTTCGGAAGAGTTGAGAATTTTATAGTAATGTGTGGAAAAACATTTCTGTGCAAACCGCATGCGCAAATAGGTGTTATTCTTGATATTTCTTTAATTTTTTGCGCAAATTATCTGATAATTGATCAAAAAAATTATTATTTTTTGATTTTATAGAGTAAATTAATTTTTTTTCTTCCTCTTCAGTTTTTTTTCACGGCTTTGAGACACAAAAAGTGGTATTTTAAACACGAAATGCCTAAATCATGACTAAAGTACTTTAGTCACGGGTTTTAGTCACGGCGTGGAGCTTGTGCCTGCGTATTTGCCATATTTCTCAGTAGAGTGCGAGCCAATTTTTAAGATTTTAAATACAAAAAAAGAAGAAAAAAAAATAAAAATATTATCCTAAATTTTCAATGTTTTTCAAAGAAAATCTATAAAAATAGATTTTATTACCTGAATTATTTACCTATTAATGTAAGTGGAGAATAAAAGCCAATTCAAGTTTCCTCCAAGTTTTTTCAGCACTAAAAATAACGTTATTGAGCTTTATTGCTAAAGATAATAGGCGATAATTGAATTATTTTTATCTTTATATCGCTGTATTTTCTCAACGATTGTATTTCATTCGGCAATTAAATTCGATTAGTACATAAGCATCCACACGTGATTCTACGCCAATAAAACTCGAACAAGCACAAAAAGCAAACGTATCTACTAAGAATAATAATAAAATTTATTACAACTACCTTTTTATATCAATAAATAAGGTAATGAAAGTATTTAATAATAATCAAAGTAGGTTATACTAACCCATCATCAAAACCTAGTTCCGTTCTAAACCGGAAGTAGTCCTCCTAGGCTTGCGCATTCACCTAGTGGAGTTTAAGCCGGCTGCACTCGAGATTCTCGCCTAAACCGCGCACCGGCTGAGGTTTTCGCCTCAGCTGGATTGCCGCCGCGTCGCGAGCATCCCTCGGCGGTGGCGCGCGATACCCTTCATACATGCGCACATTTTATGACGACGACTCGCTGGCTGGCGCTGGAAGCCTCATGAATATTCAGCGACGTTTAAGTATAAATGATTAATTGGCATTATTCCGACATTCTGGGCGCGCGGCCTGCGCGCCAAAGGACCCACGCCATGCCTGATGAGTGTTTGTGCGGAAACGGGCCCATGTATGTGTGTGTGTGTGTGTTGTGCGGGACGCGCGGGCATTATTAATGTTTAATAATGTGAGCGGCGCACCGGACGCGCGCGGGTTTGGCTTTGGTAGCTTTTGGTGGAGGCGCCGGGCGACTGAAGCTGACGCTATTTAGTTGCGGCACCCTCGTTGGTATTTTAATAGATGCGTTTGAATATTGCAACCCATGCCCTCCTGCCTTTATTTTGACCCAAATATTCTCACTGCAAAAATCATTTAAATGATTATTTTTGATCATGAATCAACAATTTACTCATCCATATTGATGTTGATTCTATTTCATTTTCTTTATAGACTTGGACCATTTTTCTTTTTTTTTGTTTCTCTTCCTTTCACATGTGTTTTTATTTATTATTTGTCCCTCCGAGTGTTCATCTTGTTTCTTGTTTATATTTATGTAATCTATACATACACCATCGCACGCCATCTATTGTTTTCTGTTTTCGGGGGTGTTTCACCCCTGATTTTTGCCGTTGTCCTTTTTTATCCAATACTTCCTCTGCGGAGAGGGTCTGCTCTTATTCGTTTTCCAATTACTTGCCTTTTCACATCACACGAAAGATGTGAGCCTGCGTGGTGTTTATTTTTTCTATTATTTTTGTTTCCGTTTGGTTTGCCGACGAGTCCTACTTCTGGACACGAGGCACAAACTAAAACCGGCACAAGTGTTTCACTAACTACAAAAATCAACACTTTACACATAGACAAAATTTTTTGTTTGAGGTTATGTTGAGAACACCCTGTAGGTAAAACACTAGGCTATTATTGCGAGCCAGGGAGAGTCTCGCAAAGCGAATGAAACGTACGATCGCCGTTCGGACCTTTCGACCCGAACGCAATTTGATACGTGTCAAGTTCCTCATTCTTCACGGCTGTCAACTCAACCAAACCTAACCTTACTTCTATCAACTCCCACAGACTGGGCGCTCACAAATATTCAATTCTTTTATTTCATGGAACAACATCAACACAGCACGTGGAGGTATTAAATTTTGTAATTAACTGCACAGACACTTTGTGTCTATGAAAATGTTAATTGAAGAGCAGACCCTTGAAGGGGTTCAGCTGGTATCTTCTGCAATATGCATAGGTTTCCGATTAGGGATAGTTTGACGTCGTGATGGCGTGAGATTGAGGAAGGAGGAAGTAAATTAGACTTTG